AAAATTTAAATCTTAAAGAAATTGAGGAAGACATCAGAAGATGGAAAGACCTCCCATGCTCATGGATTGGAAGAATTCATATTGTGAAAATGACCATCCTACCAAAAGTCATTCCATAGACTCAATGCAATGCCAAATCAAATCCCCATGATATTTTTTACAGAATTGGAAAAAACAATCCTAAGATCCATATGGAAGCACAAAAGACCTCAGAGAGCTAAAACAACCTTGAGCACTAAGAGCAATGCCGGGGGGATCATTATACCAGATTTCAAGCTGTATTACAGAGCTATAGTCATAAAAACAACATGGTACTGGCACAAAAATAGACCCATAGACCAACAGAATGCAACTGAAGACCCAAATATGAGTAAATGCAATTTTCAGCAAATGATGCGGGCAAAACTGGATCTCCACCTGCATAAGAATGAAACTAAACCCCTATCTTTCACCCTGCACCAAAGTCAATTTCAAATGGCTCAAAGACCTCAATGTAAAGCCTGAAACTCTGAAACTGTTAGAAGAAAACATTGGGAAAAATCTACAAGATATGGGCATAGGAAAGGATGTTCTAAACCGGACATCAATTGCTCAGGAAACCAGGGCAAGAATTAAGAAATGAGACCTCATTAAACTAAAAAGCTTCTGTACTTCAAAGGAGGCAGCCAGGGAAGCGAGGAGAAAATGCACAGAATGGGAGAAAATCTTCACCAGCGATACATCTGATAGAGGTTTAATTACCAGAATATATAACGAACTTAAAAAACAGAGACCCAAGACAAGAAGCAACCCAATTGAAAGATGGGCTAAGGAGCTGAACAGAACGTTTTCAAAAGAAGAAGTAAAGATGGCTATGAAACTTCTTAAAAGATGTTCAACATCACTAATTCTTAGGGAAATGTAAATTAAAACCACTTTAAGATTTCACCTTACCCCAGTCAGACTGGCTAAGATCAAAAAAACAAATGATACCAAATGTTGGAGAAGATGTGGGGAAAGGGGAACACTCATCCACTGCTGGTGGGGCTGCAAACTGGTTCAACCCCTATGGAAAGCAGTGGGGAGAACTCTTAAAAAACTACAAATGAACCTACCATTTGACCCAGTTATACCACTCCTTGGCATATACCCAAAGAACTCATCCTATTGCAGAGACACTTGTACATCCATGTTTGTTGCTACTCTTTTCACAATAGCTAAGAGATGGAAGCAACCTGAGTGTCCCTCAATGGATGAGTGGATAATGAAAACATGGTTCATTTTTATCCAAAGGAGTTTTACTCAACAGTAAAGAAAGATGAAATCATGAAATGTGCAGGTAAATGGATGGAACTAGGAACTGTTATACTAAGTGACATAACAGAGACTCAGAAAAAAAAAATCTATATATGTTCTCCCTCATATGTGGTTCCTAGAACCAGACTCTGACAAATAAGTATGCAACCAGACATAACTACAGGAACCAGGATAATGGAAAAAAAACAGGGAGGTAAAGGAAAAGAAAGAACTTGAAAGAGAAGAACAGTAGGAAACAGGCCTTAATAAGGGAGATATGGATAAAAATTTGGTTAGTTTAAGGGAGGGTAGAAGGAAGGGTATACAAGGAACCTAAGAGATAAAGGGAAAGAAGGAGTTCAAGAGAGGTAGGACCATAGGAGAAAGG